CGGGTAGCTCTAGTCCAAGTTCTGGGCCAATAAATTAAGCTTTATGTGCGGCTAATAGAAAATTTTTACCTGCCTTTTATATGGGCACCATATGCAAATTGTTGTGCCAGGACATGCAAAGTATTCGGAAGTATACACATACTGTCAGCCCCACACACACTCGCACACATACCTATATTCCCACCCACCCACACATACATAAATTACACGCTTAAGCAACAAAAGGCGAATGGCATAAAAATGCAGAGAAAAAATGTTTAACCCAACGCCAAACGATTTGCATTGCATGATAAAGGGGATGGCAAAATAGAAAAAAAGAAAAAAAATCTAAAATGCAGGCGAACAATGCAGGAGGCACTGTAGATGTTGGCTCTAGGAGCTCTGGGCTGTGCAGACAGCTGGGTGCCGGCTGGCATCGGGCACAATTTATATTGAAATAAGAATATAGAATGGAATATAAGCAAATGAAAGCGTTGCGCACCTTTTGCATAAGCTTGAAGATTTGAGTGTCTCTTTGCGAGTGTGTATGTGTGCGTGTGTGTGTGACGATATGGCGTTTACGTAATGCTTAGACTGGTTGCTGCTTGCTAGCATTTATGGTTAAGGGCAAATGTCTCCTTATTGGCTTCAGCATAATGTGCTCAGCCGTAAAATATACAACGCTTCTTCATAGATGCGTTGACATCAAGCAAAACATAAATGGAAAGAATTCTGGAGAGAAAAACTTTCTCTGCAAACTTTCTTTTCATTGAATACAGTCAAGAAACTTGTGTTCCAGAAATTGAATTACTTAAGTCTGAGCTGTGTTACTTAAATGTAATCCATTTGGGTAATTAAAATCTGCGCACAATTTTTAAGGGGTATTATTGATATTATAAGGTATTATAGACTGATAGTTTTCAGAATTTAAAAATGATTCAAATATCACTAAGTCATGGCTACAGCTTTTCATATGGCTTTCATAAAATTTGTCCTGTCTGTCAACTTTTCCTTACAGTTTTGAGAATTTTTAAATATTTCACGGCTTGCAGCTTTATAAACATGAATGAAGCTGTTACCTTGCCTTACCTTATGTAGAGCCTTCCGGATAAATTTCTGTACAATAAATATTTAGCCAAAAGCGTTTTAGATCGTATTACACGTTGCTTAGATTTAAAGCTCTTGTTTTAAATGTACTTATAGAGAATCTATAATAGAATAGAGGAAATATGCTGAATCTACGCCCTGAGCACATTTGCCTTTAAGGTGCCTAAGTTCTCATGGCAACATATCCGCAGGAACACTATAGCGATTGTTGTTAGCTTTAAAAACTTCTAATTGAAGCTGCTCAGGTAACATTTTGAAGTTCATGTTCAATGCTGCGCATAAGAGCATCTTGACTTTTGAACCATTGCCATGGCGCTGACATTTATCGATTGCCTGGACACCTGTGCTCGAGGATTTAAGTTCATTTAACTACGCAGTTTGCCTAGCTGCATGGAATTTCTCTAGCCTCTAGTGCGCTTCCTATTGCGTACGTCAGTTAATCCAATTACACCTAATTGCTACTTAACAGATTATAAATACATTTGTAATTTGATTTCACAAAATGCTAAGTGGGTATAAAATTAGGATCGAGCTGGAATGGCGTCCATTCCACACGCAACTATATTTAAATGTTGTTCCGCCCTTTTGCTTTACTTTTCGGTTTCACTGTAATTATTCATGTGAGTGCATGCAAGTGTATGTGCGTAAGAACAAAGCAGCAAACCACACGTAAACAGGCGACTAGTCAGAAGAGAGTGGAAGTACTTCATTCTTCCCCTTCCACCAGAGAGCAACTTCGAATTTGCGCACGAATTGCTTAACGTTTGGATTCGCATGTTTATAAAGCTATTTCTGCACAGACTTTAACTATTAAAGTGAATGTTTGTATACATGTATACCTATGTATATGTATGAGTAAAAATATCGTAAGTGAAGCGATTAGCAGAGGTTTTTTTCGTCGTTGCTCTTTATAGTTTCCTAATTGCGCTCTCTTTAGACGCGATTGCCTCTCACTGCTGACTTAGTGTTAGTGAGAGGCTGAAAGCTTGAGTAGAGCATAAAAATATTATTCGCGCTCAAAACCATACTCCAATATCGAGAGAGTGAGTAAGTGCGAGAGGGAGGTATATACATAGCCGTTGCTGTGCTTAGTCGCTGATGTTGTAGAGAGCGATTGAGAGCAGGAGAGGGAGCGAAATGGCTACTTAGGCCCTTCGGTGGACAAAGAGAACGTGACTGGAAATGGACAGTTAGCAAGAGGAAATGATGCAAATACAGCACACTGGGAATTCGTTGGTGGACATAGCCATACAATAATTAAATTAGCAAGGAAGGCGATCAAGTTGATACATTATCTGTATTTATATAAACTTATTATTACATATACATACATGCATACATACACACATACAAAGATTTTCTGTTACCTGCAACTCAATTTTCAGCCCTGAGCTGCAATCCAAAAATTTATTAGAGCTCCTTTGAATCTCTGGCTGCAGCCAGCACTCGCTGGATGTCACATCCATCAGATGCGGGCCTGACAGACTGACAGACTGCTGACTGGTTGACTGACTCACTGAGAGACTGAGCTGACTGGGCCAGACTGCCTCAATGTCAAAACACACAATCAGTCGTGCCATGGATGGACCGAACAGAACTGGAGATGCCTCCAGGCTGGCGCAGCGGCAGCTGCAGTTGCAGCATTTTTGCAGAAACTCAATTAATTTTAGGCGCCGGCAACTGCTTGAAAGCTAATAGCCATGATGAGGCAGCAGTTCTTTCTTGCTGACTGAATTGACATGCTATAAATTGCATATAAGATGCGTTGCGTTCCACGCTTGATTTATAAATGGCTGTCATGTGCAGTTGGAGTTCGCGTCAGCTCGTCCGCAGCTCTAATTTGGCACTTAAATGCAACGACGTGCGTGGGACCGGCTGACTTATGGGGCGCCCACTCCACTGCCATGTACATGGACGTGCGCATAAGTATATGTGTAGGCATATGTACACGTTTCATAGTAGCTGAAACTGCTAGAGATTCCCATCACGCGCCACAAAATGCCGTTACGTGTTTGCCACCGCCAACGTCGATGATGTCTAAGGTGTCTCCCAGTCGGCGTGCCAGTGGATTATATGGCTCGTGGCTGTGCGGCCGTGTGGTTGCGTCCACCGTGTCGCTCCAGCTGGCGTATTCAATAACCGCTGAGCCCGGGAAACTATAACGAGGCGCACTACAACTTCATATACGTACATGCACACACACACACACATGCACACACATTTTAACGGTCCGCCTGAAAGTATGCAGCATTCAATTTACTCTACTCATCACCGCGAACCGCAAAAATACTTTTGGAAATTGATTTAACGCAGCGCACGGCAGACTGCATATGCACATGTATGTGTATACATATATACACATATACACATGTATAGACATATCGCTCATCTGAAATAATAGTGTGATCCAATGGCTTGACATCTCATGAATTTGGCCTATAACATTTGGCTTTTTGACACGCATCCCGTTTTTATAACCACATAACTACATATTTTGTCGCAATGCGATTTGCGGCATATGTGAATACGTTATAGGCTTTGGTTCTACAATTTGTGTAGGCTATAGCTATAGTTGCGCAGTCTCTATTACATTACTACTAGATAAGAGACCTATAAGTATATGTACATTTCCTCTCGTATAGCAGGTCTTAAACCAAAGCAAAGCCACAAAACCACGTAACATGCGAACATCTGTTGGATTCTCTTCCAGTGCATCATCTGTTGTTTTCTTAGTGTATTTCCAATTTTCACTTCAATTACTTTTAATTTCGTTCGCATCTATTGCAACAGATTTGCAATTGCGCATTGTAAGCATTAGCTCTGCTTGAATTGGCCCAACTAACACTAAGCATTTGTTTGCTCCATGCCTCTTCTTCTCGATTGCCATTGCTGCGGTTCGCTTTCTGCTCTCCGTTTTCTGCTGTGCTCTGCTCTAATTGAAATGTTCGCCGTTAGAACTTAATTTTTGCGCAGCGGCGCTTTTTCGTTATCAGCGAACGCAACATCTAAAGAAAACAATCAAAACAAAACAAAGAGAAAATAGTGAAACAGACAATAATGGGTAACGACGACGACGACGGCGACGGCGACGGCGATTGGCAAACTGGTTTGTCCGTTGCATTGTTGCGCCCTGGACCGCAGGATCGCGGGGGGTGGGGCTTGCTCTTATTGTCGGCAGAAAGGAAGTGGAAGAAGACTTAAGTAACTAAATTGAAGGGCAACAGCTGCCTGAAGGAATCGACACAAGCACGTGAGGCAAAAAAAAAAAACAAAAACAAAACGAGAAGTGATTGGATAAGATCAACAGTGGCGTAGATACTGCAATTGTATGACCACTTATGGATCAAAATGTGGAGTGTACATATTCAATACATATATATTCTATTGTATTATAATTGACAACAAATTTGTTATTATTTATTTAATTGGAAAAACAATTATTTAACTCGCACCCCTTTGAGCAATGCCACTGCACGCAATTTGTCTGCACTCTGCCTCAATTCGCTTACACCCGCTGCAAAATGCTGAGCAAGCGTCCATACAACGCTATTGAATGCCAACGGTACTAACATTTTGCAGCTGGTGTGTGGCGGAATTTTGAAGCGAAGAATTGGCCTCAGGCCCGAAAAATGAAAACAAAACAAATCAGCAGAGATGGAAGCAGGGCTCTAGCTAATTGAAAAGATCGAACTGAATTGCCGTCGTGCGTTGTTTAGCGCGCCGGCCAAATCAGTTGAAACTGAAACGTCGTCGCCGGCGGTGCGCGTATCCCACCACTCGGAAGCGGGTCCAGAAATAGCCACTAGGGTCGGGGAGAACATCAAACGACATTGGCATTCAAGTGTGTAATATTTTGTCGTGCTGCGCTAATTGCCCTCCATATACATATACATATACATACATACATACATACATACTCCATTCGATAGTTCGCGTTGTCATTCAACTTACGCTCGCGTACATCAATGTTAAAGGGGCCAATTGGGTCAAGTGCTCTCAATTGAAAGTGTCAGCTGGCTACGAGGCACAGTCAACATGTGGTGGCACATGCTCTGGCTGCTTGTGCTGTGCCCAGTTGCAACCAGAGCGGAAACAATTTGCGGCTCCCTGGAGCTGCGAAACATCGCGGATTTGCAGCAGCTGCGCAACTGCAGCCTTGTGGTGGGTCATGTGCGCATTGCGAACCTCCAGCTGCCCAGCAGCGTCAACCTGAGCGAGCTGAGCAGCGAGGTAACCGAGATCACGGACTATCTGCTAATCTATCGCTCCATCGGGCTGCTCACACTGGAGACAATCTTTCCCAAGCTCCAGCTAATACGCGGCAGGCAACTGCTAATGAATCAGTATGCTCTAACCGTGTATGAGAATCGCAATTTAAGGGAGCTGGGTCTGGTCCAGCTGCAGCGCATCCAAGACGGTCACATCCGCATCGAGAGTAACCCAATGCTGTGCTTCGTGCATACCGTCGACTGGATCTACCTCTCAGGCAATGCCACTCGGCAGCATTTCTATATAAAGGTAGGGCTGAGCAAAGGAGTACATTTTGATTTATTTATTAGAGATTAGAATTAATATAACTTTATTATTGTATAGCAAAAAATATCTTATGATATGCTCTTAAAAGATAGAGGTAGGGGTTGAAGATTGAGGAAAGTAATTACTAATATTAATATGAGAAAACTTGATTAATTATTCTTGGAGTGAATACCCAGCAATAAGTAAAAACTTTCTATTTCCAAAATGAACTTTGTTTGCTTATTGATTAAAAATATTCTCAAAGTTTTTCAGGTCTAGTAATATGTCGAAAGAAACGCCCTTTATTTTATTTTTTATGATGAAAACTTTTCTTGAAAAGGTTTTCATACCCAATTTAGAGATTATGACTATATTCAAATAGATTATTATAAAACTTAAACCAAGCTAAATATAAAAAAATATTTTTTTAAATTTATTTAATTTAAAAATAAGTTTATGACATAACCACTATTATAAAAAATGTTTAAGGAATTAAAAAAAAAAAAAACAAACATATTTTTCATTATTATTATTATTTTTTAATTTCAAGCTCAACAGGTCCCCGAATCATTGTCCTGTTTGTGGCGGCATCTCAGCCGATTATTCGATTCGCTACAATTACACACGGCATTGCTGGAATACGCAGGCGGCCCAGGTGCGCGTAGAGCCGCCCCGAACTGAAAACTGTCCCAGGAGCTGCGGTCGGGATGGCTGCGATGCCAAAGGGAATTGCTGCCAGCACAGCTGCATTACGGGCTGCTCGGCGCAGAACTGCACGCTCTGTGGTAATTATCGTCGGAATGGGCGCTGTGTGGATCAGTGCATTGCCAGCTATGAGCTGCACAAGAGGCAGTGCATCTCGTACAAGGAATGCCGTCAGCTTAATCGAATTCCGTTGACGCGAGGCTATCGCTGCACGGACCACTGTCCCAATAACCACAAGCCCGTAATTGATGCCAATGGCACGCTCCAGTGCCAGCTGGAGTGCAAGGGCGTCTTCCACATCAAGCGCATTGCGGATCTGGAGCAATTGCAAGACTGTGTGACCATCAACGGATCACTGATTATAGAGCTAGTGGACATAAAGGGTATGCGAGTGAAGGCCTTACAAAAATGAGAAGCACATATCAATCTATTCGAACTATTTCAGAAAAAGTTGTTTCTGCTCTAGAGCAGGCCATGGGCAGCATTAAGGAGATTACCGGCTATCTAAAGGTTATACACTCGGCCCAGCTCATGTCCTTGACTTTCCTCAGCAACTTGGATACCATACGCGGCGATCAGCTGATTGAAAATAAGTAAGCTGATCTAAATGCCCATGGATAAGAGTAAAAATATGTTGTGGATTTTTTTTTTTTTTTGAGACTACACCTATAAAAAGGCTAGTTATGTCCGATATTATATTTATATATTGGTATTATCAATCAAATTTTTTTTTTTATACTTTTAGATATAATTTGAACTCGTTTACAGCTAGATGAACTTCACTAGGCATATGAATGCAACAGTATAGAGATCCCACAGCCCTAAGCAAATATGAAATATCGATAAAAATCGATATTTTTATAGCTTTTTATTTAGCCATAGAAGAAACCCTAAATGAAATAAGATTTGTGTTCTAAAATGAGTAGAGCTTAACGATATTTTATTTATTACATAACCTATATACAATGAATATAAGCATATAAGCATAACTCTAAGTATTCCATAGCTATAGACACAGACACTAGAGATATGGAATATCAAAAAAAAATTATATTATGAACTCTGACTTTAGGCATAACTCGAAGACCTCATGAGCTGGAAACACCTATATTAGTATTTAGAGTCTAAATCCCATGCCAGTTGCTAAATGAAATATTGACTCATGAATCCATATGAAATTGTCTTTGAACTTTTTCGCGATTATCATTATCATGATTTATATACACAATATAAGTATTTTTTTTCTCTCAGGTATGCCCTGTATGTTGTTAACAATTACCACATGGAGCACATCTGGCCAGCCAATCGCCAGGTGGCCATTCAAAGGGGCACAATATTCTTTCACCTGAATCCGCGATTATGCTTTGAGAAGATCCAGAAACTGCAGCCCTCCCTGAAGAGTGTCAGGAAGATATCCATAGCGGATGTATCGCCCAACTCGAATGGCGAGCGTGTGATCTGTGGCGATTCGGTGCGCACACTGAACGTTAACGTCGAGGACCTGAACTCAACAGCCGTACGGATTGTGATAGACTTTATGAAAGCCGAGGATGTGGAAATACTCATAGGCTACTCCTATCACTATATGGAGGCGCCGCAGCGAAATATAACCATGTACGACGGACGACACGGCTGCGGACATGATAAGTGAGTGGGAGTGGAAGTCGACTTTTTGAAATACCTTTCACGTACGTAACTCCCTTTTAGCTGGCTGATGGATGTGAGTCTTAGCAAGAATCGCCGTCATGTCATCTCGAACCTAAAGCCCTATACGCAGTACGCATATTTTGTAAAGACCCTAACGCGTACCGATTACCACATGCAGGTCGATGCATACTCCAAGATCCAGTACTTCCGCACGCTGCCCAGCAAGCCGAGTCCTGTGAGCCAGCTGCACGGCAGCTCGGACCACAGCACCCAGATTGTAAGTGATCCGCTGTGACTTGATGGCGAGTCTGTTTCATTTGTGCCCTTGCAGATGATTTACTGGTGGCCGCCAGCTCGGCCCAATGGCATCATTTCCAAATACATTGTGAACGTTGAGCCGTATAATCTGACCAGGGCAGAGGTCAGCACCAAGAACTATCCCACCTTCAAGACATGCGACACCTGTGAATTGGACTGCGTCTGCAATGATCTAAAGCCATACGATTCGGGTCCACAGCCGGAGGATGAGCACTACTACAACAAGGAGCAGATAATATATGAGGAAGCATTGCCCAATCTCATATATGTGTCGTGAGTAGCATTTCCACTTGATATGCCTGACTTTTCCTGTAAGTTGTCTTTTACCACTTCAACTAGGCGTCGCAAATTGCAAACGAAGAGGGAAAAGTTTGAAAAGGTTAAGAGCTTTGAGGATATGGTCGCCGGTCCCTCGATAGTGTCATATGACAACAGCACGAGCACAACAACTCCAGCACCTACGCTCGTCGTGAGCAACTCGTCCACGGCAAGCCAGAACGAAACATTTTCGCAGGAGGACTCTGATGCCGCCAAGCAATATGAAATATTTCGCAAATACATCGAGGACAGAATGCGCCAGCTGCAGGACACCAACGCATCCGACTTTGTCATCCTGCATGCGATGCCTAAGTGCAGGGATAGCCATGCCTCTGTGGGCTATCAACTGGAGCAGAAATGCATTGTCGAGGAAGAGCCAATTGGCGTCAGCGTACCTGGCACTCAGCACTATTACAATGCGACCGGATTGCAGGCCAACGAGTACTATCGCATTACGGTGCAGGCCTGTGTGGACGGGGTCATCAATGGTTGCTCGAATCCGACGGAGATGATACTAAAGACCATTAGCGAGCAGGTGGATCAGTTTATGAATGGCCAATAAACGCATCCCAAACGAGGATTTCACAGTTTTGTTATAGTTTCAGGGCTTCAGGAGTAGTCGAGTTGCCTCAGATTGAAGAGATTTTTCTAGATGTAATTGTTCCGTCTGTTGTTTGGTTCGGTAATCGCGTGATATATTTAAAGTTTGTAATATTTAAGCATGATAAATGTGAGAAAGTATTTGCTAAAGTTCCTTTCATTATAAATTAAATCAGAAAATCCTTTTATCCTATGGTAATTTGATGTTTCAGCTTGTCGAGCTTTTAAAGTCTTAACAGTTATTTTGAGATAGGCCGCAGAGCCAAGAGTAAGAGGGAGATAGGAAGATGGAGAGAGTGCTATAATCCGCACACACAATGAGTGTGGCTGGCAGTGATTCTTGACATTTTGCAACTTGGCATAACGGTTTCGGGGGCTCAAACAATAAGCCTACGCAAACTAACAACAGCTCCACCTGCGTCAGCCTCAAAACTATAGCAGCCAACACCCCATCCACTTCAGCTGACTCCACTTGCCTTTCATGCTGCTGCTCCCACACACACATACACGTCGGTTGCTGTTGCTGTTGAGAGAGATGCTCGGGGCACTTGCGTCAGTTGCAAAAATTCAACGCATGCCACTTAATATGCAAATATGCCACAAAAGAGCTTTAAACTTTAAAATACTGCCGAAAAGAGAGAAAAACTAAAAATAATCCCGACTCCGCTGGATGTGGGAAATTTGGGACGCGACACGATACGACACGACCAGACGGCACGAGCTGAGATCCAGGGCTCCAAAGTCGAACCGAGTACGAGTACGTGTCATGTGTCGCCATGTCGGCTTGTTGTGAACTTTGGCTCAGCAGGAAACTTGCACGGAACGTGTCCCACTCAATGGCGTTGGCCGCCGTTGATTGACGAAGGAGCCTGTGCCGGCACGGGCCACGTTAGTTGATAGTACGTAAAGGATTTGCACTTTGAGTGAGCCGCTGTCGCTGACAGTTAGACTAGACCGCAAAGTCTTCAGTTTTCGGTCTCATGCCTTTTAAAGCACCGTCTCCTGCCAAATTCTTTAGTCAATTGTATTTCAATATTTCACTGTCGTTCCACTCTTCTACTGTTGCGCCATTTTGCGCCAGTGCTGCCATAGCCCAGTGCTCGTTATCCTTGCACTGCGATGGTAAGCACTTTGTGAAGCTCTCGAATTGTGCGAGAGTGTGTATGTGTGTGTGTGTGTGAGTGTGTGAGGTAGGGCATACGCGTCAGTCAGTTGAACAATTTCACTGAGTGCTTTACAAGTTTGCCGTGTGTGCACTTCAATTGTCCTTGCACCACCACCACCACTACCACCACCAGCACCACTACCACCACACCAAAGCTTCAGCACCGGACAACGCAGTTTAGTTGACCTTCATTTCAATACGTTTCAGCTTGGAGCCAGAGCACATGGATTTTGTTTGAGTTTGGCTGCGACTACCCTCAGATATCCTTAACACCAGCACCGTCTATGCTCCTGACTGCCCTAATGGAAATGGGTTGACCAATAAATTTATATTGCGCACATTTCTTTCTACCCCTGCTTGTTCTCCTTCTGCAAATATATATAATGAATGCTTGCTATATAGATATGTATATACTTATATATATTGTACATATATACACTGAGAGTATTTCACGTTTTACGTAAATATTGAATATTTTCTATGTTATTCAAGCTAAAGTCCTACAAGGCTTTATGTATTGGACTCAGCTAGATATCTATGGATAAAAATGTATATCTTCTTATAGTATTATAATCTATTTTATAACTTAAATACCAAATTTGGTAATTCTGGATGTCGAATTGAGCAAGATGTTTCATATTTAATATTCAAATAATAACTAAAATAATAAAATATTGCTTGCTAAAATAATTGATTTGGTTTTAAGAAAATTTCAAGTCTGGATCATAAAAAATTGTAGAGCATTTATTTTTAATTGAATTATAAGATATTTCATATTTAATATTTAAAATAAAAAATAACAAAATATTTCTTGCTAAAATAATTGGTTTGGTTTTTAGAAAATC